CTATTGACGATAGCGAAAACTTTTTATATGGAAATTGTAGATCTCGTCGTCCTCTACAAGAAAGATCTGATGCAATTTTCCCGTATTTCCAACGGTTTCGAAGTTATTGGCCAAAAACGAAAATTTCGCGAAATCTGAAGGGGTACCCCTTGGAAAAATCTCGGAAAAATCGAAAATTTTTTTTTGTGGTTTATTATTAGCAATGTCCTTCTGACGTCTGATTTCTTTTTAAAAAATGCGTTTCTAAAGTGCATAAACATTTGGGATTGACTGTATAGCCAATACATCCTTAACAGTACTTGACAGTTTGACATCTCATTTTTCACTTAGTAAGAAATCGTCGAAGTCCATGACGAAATTTTGCACGTGGAGGCGTACATACACTTTTTCTAGATAGCATCGCCAGCGTTGACCAATAATACAGTGTGCTGATAAGTAAGTATATGACGTCGGAAAAAAGCTGTAATCTATTTAACGAAGATTCGTCTGACAGTTAATCACAAATCGACAGTCACGTCGAAAGTTTTACAATCGTTGTATATAACATTACAAATTCAGTATCTTTGCCGCGTTACAATTTGCGCTATACTTTATTTATTTTTCGAATATATAATTTCGCATACGTTGTCACGAGCGATAAAAGAGTGCATGCGCAACGCGCAGCCACTCTTTCAGGATTCGGCAAGTTCCACTGGTCGCAGATGGAATTCTCGCCTGTGATTGAGGTTATAGTTTCAAAGAGAAGAAGAAAGAAGACCAATGTAAGATAGTGTTAACTGACTCGAATCGATGAACGGGAGAAATCGTTTCTGTGAAAAGTGACAGTAGGTCGAGCATTTAATGAGAAGACACACGATGGTAACGACTACTCGATCGCGACGCCGGAACATACCAGTATTAAATAATCTCGAACGTTGCCGATACATCGAATGAGTTGTTATTGTTAATCACAGTTATTGAGTAAGAAGCTGCCAGAGTTTATGTTTCACAACTTGATGACTTTGAGTTAGAGCGTGCGTAATCGTGCGGGAGGAAAGGATCCTCATTTCGTTGATGCAGTCGCGTTTCGTCGATCTGTAAAACGTAATTCAGTGAAAAGGCGAGAAAACGGCGTTGGAAGAGGTAGAAATCTATCCACAAGGTCAGCCGACCTATTTGGATCCGCTATTAATGAATGAGAGAAGACAAAACATGCTTAGCCGAAAGTTAAGTAACAGAAGGTTGCTGGTCGACCTGCTGGCACTGTTTTTTGGTCTCGGTGCGTGGGTCGGTGTGAATGGAGTATACGTTCAGCTGCCACTTCTTGTGAACAATGCTCCAGAAGGATGGAGTCTCCCTGCTCATATGGTTATGCTAGTGCAATTCGCCAATTTGGGACCAATATTATACACATTGTACATAAAGTAAGTGCCTTGGAAACGATTACACGTAATCACATAAGCAGTGAAATATTCATGAATTATTGTTCTGTTCCAGGTACAGTAAATGGGCATGTGATAAATACATTACTTATGTAGTTTTAGCATCAGGAGCACTGTCTACATTTACGTTAGCCTTCGTGTACAACAAAACGTCAATCATATTCGGCAACGAGCATTCTACTGCTCTGTTGTCCTTGATGTTCATAACTGCCATTGTCGGATGTACTAGTTCTGTTCTATTCATGCCGTACATGAGGAACTACAGAGAAATTTATTTGGTCTCCTATCTTGTAGGAGAGGGACTGAGTGGTTTCATACCAAGCATGGTAGCATTGATCCAAGGTGTCGGTGGAAATCCAGAGTGCTTGAACACCACTTCGGCCGAATCTACTAAACCAGTATTCACGCCTTATTATCCAGACCCAAGATTCTCAAGCGAGACCTTCTTCATCTTTCTCGGTACCTTATTGTTCTTGAGTTATCTGTCTTTCTTGGGGCTGAACAATTTATCTGTCGCTCGCGGGGAAAGGGTGAAACACCCAGGTAGCATGGAAACGTTACCGACAGATACGAAAGCACCTACGAGTTACAAAACAGATTCCGGCTGGACGATGCCGAAACGAGAGTACTTCTATTTGTTACTTATGATGGCGGTGATCTGTTTCCTAAGTAATGGTACATTACCGAGTATCCAGTCGTATTCCTGTTTACCGTATGGGAACGTCGCGTATCATTTAACTGTTACATTGTCATCGATGGCTGGACCATTGGCAATGTGCCTAGGCTTTTTTATTCAAACGCCAAAGACGAATTTCCTCAGTGGCCTCACGGTTGTTCTTCTGGTACTGTCCGGCTTCGTTTGCTATTTAGCTGCTGAATCGCCTACTCCGCCTTTGCAGCATAGTTGGCTAGGCGAATTTTTAGTAGTCGTGTCATGGATATTAATCAACGGTCTGGTTGGATTTATAAAATTGGGCATCACTACGATGTTCAGACCTGATCCTGGCAGGGGGCTATATTACACTGGGGTCGCGACTCAGGTTGGATCGCTAATAGGAGCTATAGTCACGTTTGTTTTAGTCAATCACGTGAACCTGTTCCATTCTTATTCACCTTGCTCAATGATAGCCGTAAATTGACATTCGAGAACGAGTACAAATAGTAAGGATTATGTTAAATCAATTAATTTTACTTGAAATTTCATACCATGGACGAATTTAGGGGATATAAGTAAATATATGAATATGCAGGTCAATTTATATTTAATAATGAAGAAATCAAACTGTTTACAATTGAATTTTATGCAGACAGATATATTAGATTTTTTTTATCATCAAATCTTTATGAATTCGTGAAAAGATTAAAACTGATGTTATAGAAGTACTAGATATAATGCATTTTTACGTCAATCGTGAACATGATTCAAGTGAATGTACGAGACAGGTGTACTTAGAAATCCAGAAGTTTGAATAAAATTATTTTATATATGTACATATATAGATGAAAATATATATTTTTAAAATTATAACTAAAATCAGATATATTAGATTTTTTTTATCATCAAATCTTTATGAATTCGTGAAAAGATTAAAACTGATGTTATAGAAGTACTAGATATAATGCATTTTTACGTCAATCGTGAACATGATTCAAGTGAATGTACGAGACAGGTGTACTTAGAAATCCAGAAGTTTGAATAAAATTATTTTATATATGTACATATATAGATGAAAATATATATTTTTAAAATTATAACTAAAAAGCAGTGCAATTATGAATATTTATAATTGTTTGAAACTTTGAACATCTTTCATATTGAAGTATCGACGTCTCGTTAAGTGCTATAATAATGATTAATTGAAGATACACAATTTTAAGTGTACCAGCTTTACTACAGTCGAGGCAAATTAAAGAGGAGTGATTCAAACTTTGTATTTTATCTGATAAATTTTATTGTACGGATTATGGAAGAACGCAAGCTATAACGAGATTTCATCAGACCAGTTTCTCTTTCAACAGCGTAGCTAACAATGTTGTCCTAATTAATAGCATTTTACATAAAGAAGTGAAGTAAAAATCAGAAAATTCGAGTACACGATTAATTATTTTTGAAAAAAGTAATAGGTGAGGATGTTAATTTGCACAATCGTACAAATATTAATTCTATATTTTTTATCATCTATTCAGAAATCAAGATTCGTTTTTCTATACGTAAATGGTACAATGACAAATGTCGCGCAAGATTCGAAGGAATGTAGAGGGAAAAGTTCAATTGCTGCACACTTTCTCGTGATATTGTTCGGCGTATCAACTTGGATCGGTATTAATGGAATATTTATTCAAACTCCAGTGCTTATCAACACATCTCCAGAAGCGTGGAGATTACCAGCTTATCTCGTATTAGTAATACAATCAGCAAACTTAGGACCTTTGGTTTACGCGGTTTTACAATACTTTCACTACAAGATAAACGAGCCTTGGTGGATATTATGTTTGCTGGTATCGGGAACAACTGCAATGGGACTCTTAACATACTTTCATTCTGAAACTGTTGTTATCGCCGGCGATGAATATAGTTTAATATTATTCATCTTAACGTTTTTCAACGCCTTAGTCGGATGCTTCAGTTCTGTATTATTTATGCCGTATCTCCGTAACTTCAGCGAACAATTTCTAATATCCTACTTCATTGGCGAAGGACTAAGCGGCGTACTGCCAAGTGTGATTGCGTTGATACAAGGCATCGGAGATACTTCCGAATGCGAAATTTCGAAGAATGTTACTTCAGATTCGCCCGATTTAACATTTTCTTCGAGCGACTACTTCCTCTTTATTTTTATTATATTATTTTTATCGCTAACTGCTTTCGCTAGTCTGGAGTACTTTTCGTTCGTTAAAAAAATAAAGCGTGAATCTGATCTTCATGCGGACGATGTTGTAAAAGTGGGCGATGATGGATTAACGAAACAAACGCGTAATTACTTATTCACGTTGCTCGCTGTTTGTTGCTTCCTGAGCAACGGTTTCTTTCCTAGCATACAATCTTATTCCTGTTTACCGTATGGAAACATGGCATATAAATTGTCAATCACTTTCGCTCAGTTTGCAAATCCAACTGCGTGCTTATTCGCCTACTGGTTGAAAGTAACGAATGTAACAATCATTAATTATTTGTCTGGAATATGCTTAATCATTGGCAGCTACGTTACATATTTAGCAGTAATGTCTCCGTCTCCACCCCTCCAGGCGTCTGAATTCGGCATTTACTTAGTTATTATATCATGGACAGTTTTAGTAGGATTTATTTCCTATTTAAAATTAATTATCGTCTCAATGTTTCGAAGTGAGAAATTTGAAAACGTGCTATTCAACGCAGGCGTAATTATGCAAATTGGTTCTGCAACCGGCGCAATATTTTCCTTTATAACGATCAACTTCACAAATTATTTCGAGATGCGTAATAATTGTGTATCAAATGGATAAGCTGATATTTTAAATGTGATATTCTATTATTATAGCACTTGAGTCGAGATATCTACTTCATTGATTGATGTACGAAGTAATTGTTTGTCGAAATAGCTTTGAACGAGACGGAATGTAGAACATAATTTATATTGTACAGAAATATTTTTGTAATTGCGTACGCGTCTGCATTTATGAACAAACACATAAATGTGAAGATGCTAAACGATTGTAAAACGTGAATGAATGTTAAAATTTATATATACAGAAAATATTTAATATAAGTCAATGGGACGTTGCGTGATGTTGGAGCATGATTATTTTTCCTCAAGTATTGCCTTCCGTTGTAAAGTACTTATACAAATTATGCTTGTTATGTGTAAATTCGACTGGCTTCGAAATTATACGCCTGAATATTGAGAAATTATTGTATTTATTTTTCCGTCGAGTGATGACAATTTGAAACTTATTTAAAATATGATTTTCATCAGTACAGGAACTCTCGAGTATATTTAGATTAAATTGGTGATTGTCAATTGATTTTTAATAAACTGTTACATGAATTGTTGCGTTTGATTTTGTTACGAATAAGAGACCCCCTAACTGGGAGATGAGAAACGGGTGTAGAAATAAATAATTTTTCTATGGAATTATGTTATTAAATAGTATGACTCGATATTCCGTTTACTGTTTTAGTTTCGCGTATATCCGTGGTATCGAATTCCTTCTAATCAACACGATCAACAACGATCAAGATCACCCTCGAAGCTTATCTCCTTTTTTCTCTAGTACGAACAAAGAAGCTTGACTTTTACGACTTCAAAATTTCATGTCCTTGCAATTCTCAACTATTGAACCACTCGTTTTGCATCTCACTCGAACCGGCTTTTATCTCGCAGTTCTCATTCTCAAGCCAGGATAGGATAAAATCAGATAAAAATCAATGAACTATGAACTCTGACAGTAAAGTCGGCTGACAAGGAAACAGTTCATTGTACTTATATACAAAAGTGTAAGAATTTGTTATATTTGTAATTATTATTAACAGAATGAACGAAGAAAATATTGTAAAGAACTATGTGCTGTCTCAATACACTATGGATAAATTAGATAGAATTAGAGAAGCACTAAAAGAAGATATCAGTAATGTTGATCCTTCATGGTCAATTATATCCAAGAAGGTGTGTGATAGCCTATCGTTACTATCATTGAGGTTTAAGGGATTTAAAGAGAGTAATTGAAAATTGTATATTACAGAAAGAAGAAGAAGAAACTATTGAAGATGATTCATTGAACGACAGCAATAAAGATTGTAATAATGATGTGATGGATGAGTCAGACCAGTTTACTTCCACTCAGTTTTATTTCACGCAAACTGAAAAACATTTCAGTAAATGTATCAAACAGGAAGATGTACGTGTATCGAATTCAGATATCACAGAGTGCTTGCTTGAAGGATTAGAATGCTCGAATGGGAAATTGGATTTAAATCAGTTAGAAAATTTGACAGAAGTAGAAGTCGTGGAAATAGTATGTGGCTTAGAGAAACGACTGAGCATTCAGGGGACTTATAATTTATGTTGCTCCTTGAATAACATAGCCTTAGGTCAGAGGATCAAATATGCATCGACGTTTTATAGCCATTTGTTACTACCAAAGGTGATACTTGTATTAAATTTATTTAATGTATACAAATACAGTTGATAAATTTTGGGTACTATTACAGATTATTGGTTTGGAAGAACCTTCCAGATTACTTTCATCTATTTTAGCGGAGTCTGCACAGAAGTGTCCGGAAGATATACAAAACTTTATTTTTGTTCCCCTTATAAACGTTGATTTAAAAGACACGACAGTTGTCGATGCTATAATAAATGCTTTGGAACCTCAGAGACATACTATTCTCATTAGGTAGGTCGTGGAACCATTCATTATTTCAACAGACCAAATAGAATTAAAAATCTTCAGTATTAATTAATATTAATTTTTTAGGGAATATTTATCAAATGTAAAGGAGCTTAAATTATGGCATCTTCCTATTTTACATACTTTAATTACAGCTAAAACCGATATTTCTACGAACGACAAACTTGTACAGTTGTTATCTGGGAAGGCGATTGAATATGCGAAAGATAAAAATTTCGCAAAAATCGTGCTATCGTTCGTAAAGAAGAACAACGAGTTTTCTAATGAAAAGAAACATATGTTGTGGGAAATAAGTAATGTCAATGAAACGTGTTTTAAAAAACCTATACAGAATGTGTTAAAAAATATATAAATTTAATCATTGAACGATATTTGCAATAAAAATTGTACCATACTCGTTTGTAAGAATTTTTTATCAAAATAAAAGAGGAAGCAACGCGTGCGCCATACGTCCATGAAACCCAACTGCAGATGCGATCAGATGCGATGTGCATGAGATGTAAACATGACGGAAGAACTCTCCGGTGTTACGATAGTGATATTTATTGCTTTCGGAGTGCTAACGATAGTTTTACTGTTCATATTCGCGAAACGGCAGATTATGAGATTCACTTTACGGTCTCGTCGCGGTCCCCATATCCCAATCGGACATGATGCACTAAAGGTAAACGAGACACGCAAAGGTTAAATTTCTTGCTTCATATTATTGTTCTTTTTAATACCTGACACTCTTTCTTAGAATTAATGCATTAATTTATGTATAAAAATTAGCTAAAATATACCGCAATCGCGTAATTTTCAACAATCGTATGTACAAAGATTAAATATTTTTTAATTGTTCAGTCTCTAAAAAAGGAGACTGAGAGACGGATAGAGGTAATACCAAGAATTCAAACCGAACCACAACTTATCAGTGATCCGAGACTTATAACTCCCCGAGGCCAAATCCCACCGCATTATTACAGATTAAAAGCTGTGGATGATGTCAAAACCTTGGGTAATTTAAAAATGTGTTATCATATTAAAATGTTACATATAAATTTTAATTGGAGAATTTCATGCAATTGTACAGAAGCTGAAATAACGAAGTATGACAGCTGTTTGAAGAGACATCCGTCTGAAAATCTGCGAGCGTATTTACTTTCTACGCTGGCCACTCCATTGAATGGAAGTGGTCAACGATTGATTCATCAGTTTTGCGATTTGTATGAACACGCGCGGCACGATCCGACCGAATTCGGTGATGAGGAGTATCAAGTGTATACTCGATTGTTTCTTAAATTAATGGATGCGTAAGTATATGCCTCAACTTCATACTCATACATCTTAATATTATCGAAGTATACCAGTAAAGTGTTTAGTACTGCACAATGAATTTAAATGTTCACGTAGGGCTCGTTTATTAAAATCGTATCCGAGCAGCAGAAAGTCCAGTCCGAGTCGGACGCCTATAAAGAAAAATGTCGAGACAAAAAGGAATATATTGGAACCGAAAATGAAGTTGCCGGAGGACCAAACGTTGACCGGGACCCGACCGAACACATTAACAGTGATGATGCTGGACAACAGTGAAACTTCTGTTTAGCATTATGAATATCGTCACATACAACACATGTGACGAGGTGAACGTTGACGATTGCCAAGTTCCATATTGTGCGGAACTGCACGTAAGTGAAACTCATGCATTCAGTAGATATTTAAACAAGTCGGCCCCGCGACGTTATGCTTCCCGTTTTAATTTGCAGACGTTGGGAACACGCTTTTCCCGATAAAAGTTGTTCCCGCCTAACGTGTACAGTTTTCGATCAAACGTCGATGTCCGTTTCGACCGATAAATATTTCATCCATACGTCTTTGTAATATGGATTATGCCTTAGACAAATTAACGATCGATGAAAGATGGATTTGTGAGTACCAAAAGTAGTACTCGATCTCATGTAATTTAACCATTCCATCACCTGAAAAATACAACATTCAATTAAAATAAAATAAGAGTAGCAATATAATATTTTTCAAAGACTGCTAATTTACTATATATTGTTTTTCTTTAAGGAAATTGTTAAAATTGCTAGATTATCTGACGCTTAGTCTGATCGTATATGAATAAAATAAATTGTGAATACCTGTGGGTTTGCGTGCTTCCAATCCTGTTTATCAGAGAGAATCGTTAGAGCTTGCGGAAATAATTCTATTCTAACGTCCTTCGAATTTATCTCTTGATCGCACTTCATTAACATAGAATCCACGCCTGATAAACTAATAATAGATACGAACAAAACGTCACTGTAGAATTGTAGTCTCTCATTACGATCGTCCCAGGCTTCCATGGAAAATCCTTGAATTTGCGTCATAAGATCTAGGATCCAATTCGAACTCGATTTCTCAAATTGTATTTCCCTCAGTACTCTTTGTACAGTTTTCAGAAAATATGTTTGGACACTTCAATAGAAACATTAAAATATTTCTATACATCCCGTTGACATATTAAGATAGTTTTTAGAGAGTAATTAAAATTCTTACCCTGAAGTAGAGGCGGCAGTTTCATCGATGGTTTCGTTCAACCAGGCTAGGGTAGGCTCGGAAGCAGATTTCGTCAGAATCATTTCAGCCCTGATCGCAATCGCGTTCTTTAATTTATTCTCTGTTATTTCCCACCATACTTTAGGAGACGTCATCCTCTCCAAGTGCTCCGTTAATAATTGTAAAGCCGCGCTAAAATACGAACGAAAACGATCGCACGTTAAATCCATCCTGTCCAATAGTTTCTCCAGTACGGTAGACAATAACGTGGAGTTGGCGTGATACATCTCTTGATTCTTTAATGCCTGCGCGTACGCGCTCATAATACAATTGAATAATTCTATTGAATCTTCATTGTCGATATCCATCTTTTCAATTACGTGTTCTAAAGTGATTTCCAAAAATGGTTTGAGAACGTTCGGTTGCACTGCTTGGCAAAGATCCTCGAGGTTTGAATAGAGTACGGTGTGCTCGTTATGCTTCCAAATGAAATTTCCAACGTTTATAGACTTGTACGTGAACATGTGCTCCTCGATGAAAGACTTTGCGGATGACGATATGGCTGCGTGATGGCACGCTATCGAAAGCGTATACTGTTTAGCTTCTGTCGACAGATCGACTGTGTCCTTAAGGAAAATCCAATTTATATTAGGCAATGGTTTTGGATATTTGTGAGCGAATATTCGTAGACATTCTATAATTATTCGATGATTATTCGGATCAGATTTATTAGATTTCCTCAAGTATTCACCGACGGCTCTGATTACGCTTTTCTCTGCTAAATATTTAAAATTCTGCGGCTCCCCTTGAGGCCAGGCGTACATGCCAGACCGAAAACCTTTCACCTCTTCAGTTATAAAAGAAATTAGAAAATTCCCGGCTGCGGTTAGTGTCGTTTTATTGATATTCTGAAGCATTTGTATCCAACAAACGCCCGGTATATAAGAGAGCACGTCCTCGGGTTTTCTAGCCGCGTCTACCGGGGTTTTTGCATATGCTGCAGGCAACGCAAGATTACGGCTGAATTCTTGAGGCAACGTTTTCAATGTAAGCTGTTCCAAACTGAACGAACTCAAAGCTTTGAAAGCTGCGTTGGCCACTCGCACGTCGTTGTGCATCGCGCATTTCCACAGTTTTGAAACTATGTTCTCAATCAAGCGATCATATTCTTCTTGATACTGAGAGGGCGCATAAGACGTAATGTCGGAGAACAACTCGCAAAGACTCTCTAAAACAATCGTCCGCTTTTCTTTCTCCATTTTCGGAGCCAGTACTCTCCACGTCGAGCAAATGTCTATGACGGACGCTTTGCAAAGAGCAGAGATGCAACCGAGGGCTAACGCGCTCGCCGTCCCGCTCTTTGAATCCGTTGACCGATTCAATATCTGCGACAGTAACGGCACCAAAGTTTCCCCGTGCTCGGGATGATTCTCGGCAATGTATTTCATAGCTCTTGCGCACGTCGTATCCGAATACCAAGAGCTGTCGCTCTTCATCAGCCGAATTATCGCAGCCGAGACGAATCTGTAACATCTCTGTTCCTTTTTCAGTGCTCTCAGGTATAATTCGATCGCGAAATATTTCAGTTGCTTGTCATTGTTTAGCAACGTGTCCAACGTGTGGGTGACTATCGGAATGTTCTCTTTCGTAATCACAAGCTCCGGTATAACCAGCAGTAAGCATTTCGATTCGGCGCTGGTTTTACATTTCGTCAGTTTATGCAATACCAACGATAGTACGTGCGAACCGAAACTCTTCGTCTCCTTACAGACGTCGACCAGTATGTTGCAACAGGATTCAGTTACGCGTGGTTCTTTCGTATGCAGAAGGACACCAGCTACCAGTAATTTGCATTTGCCCTTCAAGTAAATCGGTACGCGAGACATGGCCTCTAGCCATAATGAAATATCGTTCTCTTTCCATGTACATAGACCATGTACCATCTCCGCGTAGAATTGAATACACGGATCGGAATAAGAGAATACTTTGAACAGCCTGTTCGAAGGTGTCGGCTTGTTAGTAGTCTTTCCCCCGGCGGACGTTCCGTTGGCTATGTCTCTCGCTAAGTCCAACGCGTCGGAACATAACACGGATGGATACGCCATCCATTTTAAGATAGACGATTTCAGAATGTTTAAGAATAAGACATCGCAAGACATCTTTTTTATCACTCTATTACCTGCGGTAATGAGCTACTGTGAGAAATCTATATAAATATTAAATTCAGGCTATATAAAATATACTTACATATCTGTAAGGCGCTGTACAAATAGATTGCCGGGCACGAGGCTACTACTTCAGCCATCAGTGTCAACATGAGATTTCCTATAGAACTGTCACAGTGATCTATGATAGCGTGTATAATATCAAAGTTTGGCCTTGGATCAGATCCGTTTTTCAGCAACTGGAGTATCAACGATGCGGTCATCGGCAGTAATGCACTGCAGTCTTCTCGGTTTCTCTCCGACAGAGCTTTCTCTGCAAGTTCTAAGATTCTATAATTTGTATTTACACAGACGTAATCGTCTGCTGTCGATAGCCAGAGCAAGGTCTCCATCTGAACGCGCGTGCCGCGTTCCGATTTGATCAACAACCGCCAAACCTGTTGCATACAGCTGTCCATCGAATTCATCGAAGGATTGCATAAGACGTACAAAAATACGGCGCGAAACATTTTGACCCCGTTCTCTTTAATCCTGAAATGTTGAAAATCCGTTTGCGCGATGTGCGTAAATTCATTCCCACATGCATTTTGTATACATCTTATACGTACTGGGGATCACGGTGATTCATGATAAACGTCATTTCACTTAATATCGTTTGCCAGCTATGTTTGTCCCGAGTTAAAATGATTATAAACGGATGTTGCGGCGCGTGTAAGGCAAACGGGTATATAGATTTGTTCCCGTCGCGTTTTAAGTCCAATATTAACAAACGACTTATAATCATCACTGCGACCGTGTGACTCCTAAAACATGTATTCGCGGTATCGTTGTAAAAATCAAGACGTCTGAATTATGTCGTTGTAGTATTTAGATTTATTCATATACTTTATAAAAGAAATGCTCGATGTGAAAGTAGATAATGCATCTTTGATATCCCATAAACCATCCTCGGTTAGAGCAACGAGTGCTTGACAGGCGGACACGCTGAGCGTCACATCCGCACTGTCTTTCTTTGTTAACAACAATTTAAACTCTGCGATCTGTTTAAATCCGGGAGATTAACAATTTTATTTGCTGATCGAGCGAAAACTTGTTTTACCTTCGAAACGTGATCCGCGGGTTGCTCGGACTTTTTTTTCTTAATGGATTCGAAGAGCTTGGATATCGCCTGAAGGAAGAGTATCGGTGGCAGAGAAAATTTAGGATGTCCGTAAATTGTACGGATAAAGAACAACTCACGTGCGAAATCAAAACGGGATTCCCTGATTCTAATTTGTATTCTATTTCATCCATATTTTTCTAACGAATTAGGCACCGTCTTAGAAGAAACGTACAAGAAGTATCGTTATTAATTACTGTCACTGAGAATATCACGATGTGATAAACTTGCGATCAGATATATTTAGGTTATGTTGTTTCCTATACGAATACTTTATGCAAAATAGTAGCAACAGAAAGAAAATCGTTTACTCTTGTAATATCAGTGAGGGTTTGAATATCATAATTTAATTTAATTATTTATTATTTGTTTTAT